AAAGGCAGTGTGCATCTCCCATGCAGATACTTGGCTTTTGAAAGATTACTCTGTGCACTCTCAAAGCAATCGGCTATTTCCTTCTACTCCCTAGCTCTCCTGTGTGTGAAGAGATTCTTAGTGTTCTTCATTTCCTTTCAAGAACTCTCTGTGTTGTTCTTGAAAGTTCTTCTCTTTGTAAGATTGTTTAGGTTAGGTTTTCCTTTCTTATCTTCCGCAACAATCTTTTGTATTTCTGTGTGTATTAATTCTTGATATAAATCAATAAGAATTAAAAAGTTGAAAAAAAAATCTGTGTAATTGTATTCAACCCCCCCTTCTACAATTACTTTCTGTTTATTGCCTTACCCTTCGGGACAAACAATGTACATAATCTCAAAGTCTTTAAAGGATAGGTGCCTGAAGTCAGCTTTTGAGAACATCCATTCCTTGGCATCAGTTCTGAGAACGGTGAAAACTGGCAATCAGATGTTCACGCGTCTGGAAGTATATATTAACTTTATGCTCACGATCTTGTGCTTTGTCTTGACCATCTTTAGAGATTGTGCCTTCTGCTTGAGCATATGTATGTACTCAATGTACGCTGTTGAGGTGAATGATTCGGAGAACTTGCATCAGATCCACATTAATAATTCTTCTGATGAAGATGTTGTACTCTGAATCTTCAAGGAATAGTACCTTGATCCTTATTCTCTCACACCTCTGAACATTAGCTGTTGCGGGAGTACTCTACCCCGAGGTTCTTTGACTGGTTGGTTGGGGAATCGACTAATCTCTTGTCGGTGATTCTGGTATGGCTTCGTTGAGATCATTGATGTGGTCGAAGTCCTATTCTTCAAGAAGTTGTCGGTTTCTTCTTAAATTTGTTGAGGCTGAGGTCCTTCTTCATCAAATTCTACATCGATCACTGCACGTGGGACCTCAACAGCAACAGTAGTAGTTTCAGATCTTTGCCCTCAAAATTTTTTGACTTTTCAACCATTGGCTCTGTTTCCACCTGGTTGTTTTGGTTGATTCATGATGACCTTGACCTTGTGAATGAGACGGTTTAGCACTTGAGGTCTGTCTTTGGATTGTACGAGAGACATCATGCCTGATAGTTCTCGGTCTTTTCTCTCCATTAAAATGACCGAGGTCATCGTCCCCGTCATCATGTCTTCGTTTTGAACCACTGGCCTGACTCTTGCAAATGTCCTCAAGGATCTGGATCCTCTTGGACAACAACTGGAATGATGATTGGATTGTATCCTCCACTGAGCTGATTTTAGTAGAAAGGCTTTGGAAACTTGTTCTAACTTCTCTTGAAAAGCATTGAACTCCGGTCTCATGAAATACTTAGGTTGTTTTTACACCCTGAGCATGACAATAAGATCAGCTTTGAACTGACCTCCTTCATCTGCCTCAGACAACAACTTAGCATATAAGATTGATTTTAGCTTTTCGGTTGAGCACTCAGATGGTTGTCTTGGTAGGCTGGGAGTAGGTTGTCGCTGCGGATTTAGGTTCATGTTCTCCATCATGGATTTTCCTATGAGTAGTATCCTCAGATAATTTACTAGGTTGTCCATTGAGGCTTGTACAGCAGCGAGAGCACCAACCAACATCTAAGTTGCTGTTTCGGGTAAATGAACACCAGGGGCACTTAGCCTTTTTGTTGAGACAACAGTTGAATCAACTGTCTGACCTACGTTCAGTGTTGGCGTTTGAGTAACACTAGTAGGATTTCCATCTGATCCTCATGGAGTATCTATTGAAGATGCCACTTGGGATGTTCCGACGTGTTCATGAAGAACCTCAATTTGAGGAACAGATGCTTGAGGTGTTACTACCCTCATCCTCAAGCCCTCAACATCTTCCTTCCCAAACCCCTCCTCCTCGGCCTCCACTACCTACCACCACCAAATTCAAAAACAAATGAAGGATATAGTATTCAAAACCCTAAACCAAACACAAATTCTAACAGAAAAATGTTAGCAATATATCAACATAAACAGTCTAGATTTACACAATTGTTATTCATACAAACCCTAAACTCAAAACAACAAAATATGTAAAATGTATCAGTAAAATATCATCACCTGTGGATTACAGGCTTTGTTGGACGTTTTGAGGCAATTATAAATCCTAGGAGGCAACTCTGATTAGTCAATAAAAATCGATTTCATCAAATCCTACTTGAGGAGATTTGAAAATCACCATCAAATGACCGATGATTGTGTTTACTAATGGATCGACTATCACCGACGGCCTTAATCGGTGGATTGACTATCATCGACGGTCGTATTATAACACCCCTATATATATAAAATAGCTGACAATTTAAAATTTCAAAATGCTCTGAACTTAAAACAACTTTAATAGCAAAATACTAAAACTATCAAATTTCTATCATAAAAAATCGAAACCTCTACAAACTAATCCTTAACAGAATTAGAATAAATCGGAAGGTTACTAAAACCATCAAATTTGTATCATCAAAACCTGAACCTCTACAAAGCTTTGGACGCCTCTCAGATTCCACTAGAACTTGATATACATGTCGATAAGAAAAGTGTCAGGATTTAATGCCTAATGAGTTGATGCAGTTTTAGGACACAATTCATCAAAGGAATATATTTTTCAAAGCTCGTTAATTCCAATTCAAATACCCATTTTAGATTAATAATCAATATCCAACCCACCCAAATCTTGCGCAAGGCGTAATTCTCAAAATACCGATTGTATAGATAGATCTGTAGATTCAAAACATTGAAAGAATAGGTAACGAAGTACCTAAAAAACACATTTTGCCAATTCCATCGAATATGGTGGAAGCACAAAATTAAGCAACTGATCAAAGCACTCAAGTTTCACCTCATGGCATGAATCCTCGTATACGGCTCCATTGAGCACCACCTCAAGATTCCTAAAATAACCCTAGTGTCTACTCAACCTTTAGATGAGTCTCCCCATAAAAGATACCAGTCTTCGTATACGGCTCCCACGAGCACCATCGCAAGACCTAGCCCCGTACACAACTCAACCTCTTACCACCATAGGCTAATAGCTCTGTGTACAACCCAAAGGCTACCACCGCAAGCTCTCTACTCATGAATTGGGGACCACTCACTAGACTTAAGTGAAGGCATCTAAACTCCAAGCTTAACAACAAGACAGACTCCTATGCCTATGGATCTAGTGCATTACATTCTAAACTTACATGACTCAAATTGAATGAAAAACGCACTCAAAATATGTAATTATCCAACAATATTCAATAAATGCTTTTCACATCCAAAGCTCCACATTAAGCTATAAAAACCGGACAATGGTCCCCAAAACTCAAATGAGTTAAAATTAAGCCAAAAAGCCTGTGACATCCGTCAATTCTAGAGTTTCAGGTTAGCAGCTATCTAGGGTTTCTAAATTAGAAATATATTTTTCTAGGGCTTAGTCAAGTTGATTAGAGCTCAACTAGCTTAGATTCCCGACATTTATCCCAGAAAATCCTGTTTTAGCAGATAACAGATAAAGTTAACTTATGTAATGACAAATACACTAAAATTTCTCCAAACATGATAAAAGTTGATGATATAAAGTCCAATTTTAAAAACATAAAATTCCTATTTAAAAGTTCAAACAACTTTGCAAAAATTAGGAAATTTGACCTAATACTCATTTTTTAATCACAATTTTAACATTTTATTTTTATCTAACATTTCAATGGGCTTTGTGTAAAAAATATATATATTAAAGTGTGTGGTCTTGGGCTTATGGCTGGCCACATTATGTCCCACACATAGCCCACATATAAAACTAAGTGACTCTTTGATTTCCTCCCACTTTTAGCTTATTTTCCCTCCAAAACCACCTAGAATCCTCTCTAAGTGTCTCTTCTTCTCCCCAAAACCACTTCAGCCGAATTTGATGTAAAAACATCCTTGGTTTCATTTGCTCTTGAAGAACATTGAAGAGGACAAGTGTTAGCAAGCAAGGTAAAGAGTTATTTTCAATACTTTAGTACTTTTGCATATCTTTTCTCATCATTTTCTACACTCTTTGTTCTCCATTTGGACTCAACTTTCTGGATGTTCTAGATGGGAGATTATACACCAAAGACATGAAAGATTTTTTCAAAATGGTGATAATCCATGACCTATAGTCTTAGAACTCAAGAAAGTAGGGTAAAACCACATTGCATGTGGATTTTAACCCTCAAAAGTGGTATTTTGGTGCTGACAGATTGCTTACTAGCACTTTTGTCGTCCATATCTCCCAAAATAATAGTCCAAATGCTAATTTTTTTTAAAGTTTATTTCTTTGAGTTGGGATTCTATTCCACTGGAATCATGTAAAAATGTGGAGTTTTGACCCCTCAAACACTTAGAACAAGTTAAGTGTGCAAACAGTAGGTTCAACAGTAGGTAAATCCTACTTTGAACACTCATAATTCTTTGATAACTTCTCCAAAATGTTTGATTTTTCTTCTGGAGTTTATTTTAGTGAGTTGTTGTTCTTATGTCTCTGGTTTCACTCAAAAATATTGAGTTTTGATCCCTTAAATTCTTGAAACAAGTTTATGGTGCAAAAAGATAATTTCGGACAGAACCTTGCATGTGTGTTCAAAATCAATTTATTATAATCCAATAGGTTTATACAAATCAATTTATTATAATGCCATTTTAAACCTTTTAAATCAAATAAGGTTTATTCAAAGTTTCAGCCAAACCTGTTATCTTCTCCTCAATAACATCCAGTCTATGATTTCCAACAAGAGCTCTGATCCTAAATCTTTAAATCACAAAGAAATAAAGATTCCAGACCACAGTAATCTTAAGGGATATGATAGTAAGAGTTATATTATATAACACACACATACAATTGACATCCTTATATCCAAATGTACACCTCTCCTTGATATGCCACCCTTATCCCATGGTACACCTCTCCTTGATATGCCACCCTTATCCCATGGTACACATCTCCTTGATATGTCACCCTTATTTCTTCATCAAAACATTACACATAAACAATTCCATATAGAATTAGAATCGCAGTTAATGGAACTATTATCATTTCAAAATCATTCTTTTTCAAAATTCCCCATTTATATATAAAAACAAATCAAAATGCAAATCCGGTCAAAATAGACTTGGCCGGACTTCATCTCCGGTCAAGTCTTGACTGGTTTAACAAATTCGGACAACAAATCGCCCAAAGCATGTCCGATTTATCACTTAAGGAAAAGATTCCAGCACTTTTGTCCGGATAACAAATTCGGACAACACTATGTCCCCGCCCCCTTTTTAACCGATTTAAAATAATCCGGTCAACTCATGGTCGTATTCATACTTCTTCGTTGAAACACTTAATCATAAGATCAAAGTTCATAAATTGCTCAACCTTTAAACCGGTTAAGACATGTCCGGTTTATAACTAAACCGCTTAACACTTGAGCGGTTTACAYTTAAATCACTTATACCTTGTCCGGTTTAAGACTAAACCGCTCGACCCTCTTGTCCGGTTTAATTCTAAATCGACTAAGCCTTATCCGATTTATACTAAATCGCCCAACTCTTATCCGGTTTAGGTAAAAATTCGGATAATACTCATATGGTTTAAACTTCAAACTAGATAAAAAGATGATACAAACAATTCATGTATTTCAAAGAGTGTAAAACATCTTTAGATCACTCACCTTATGCAATTTTCTTTTAAAACTCAGATGTATCCTTCTTCAAAATAAGCAATTCGATCAACTTCCCTCTCTCTTTAAATTGCTCAATCAGATAACAAAAGTGGCAAGAAAAAGAGAATGGAGGCTAAGCCCTCCTTTTTATACTTTCCTTTTCAGGAAAGTCGGCTATAATAGCGTTTCACTTCTTTTCCATTTGCATGCATGCTCACACACATAATATGCATGTATACTCATGTATACATACCATATTATACATGCATTTCACATTACACATTTATCCATATAAAATTGATGCATACTTATCTAGTTTCACCCATTAGCATGATCAAATATAACAATTTATCATGCTATCATGTAATCGTTTAACAATTAATCACGTAATAATTACCTCAGGTGATAACCAGGATACAGTTATCACATATAGTCGGTTTGGATACTAGCATTTGTATACCATTGGATACATAGATATCTTTCATGACCACAGATAACTCTTATTTTTAAGAGTTATTTCCTATTTATTTCCTCCCTTTTTATTATTATTAAATATCCAATTTTCTTGTTTTTATCCTTTTATTTCAAAAAGTTTTAAAAAGATGATGAAACACAAAGGAATAAGTATTATTCCAAAAACCTGTATTTTTCTGACAGCAGTACCCACTGTGGCACCAATGTGGGATGTCTACGAGCCTTGTTGCTGCTTCTTGAGAAACGTGCAGCTTGAAGATTTATCCAGATATTTTCTCCAGCTGTATATGAACTGTCTTCCTTCTTCTATTTTATTTTTATTTGTATTTTTTTAGCTTTGTAGTAATTACCTTTAAGGTAATGATTGGTTGTACTTACTCCCCTTCCTTTCCCCTATATAAAGAGGCTTGATGAGCCATTTTGAACACACCACCAATGCACCACACACCATGCAAGATACAAAACTCCTTTTGTGTCTCATTCTCTCTTTTTCTTTTATTATTATTATTATTATGTTTTTTAATTTATGTCTTTAATTTCTAGTCTAGTATTTTATTTCCTTGCACTTGTAATTTAGTTTTACATTAATGCAATTTATATTTCAGTATTATTTTATGTCTTTAATTATTTTTATTATGTCTAGCTAAATTACTCGTATGGGTGTGGGTGTGAGTTTAACTTAGGATGTTTATATAATATTTGAGTGTTTTTATCTTTTATCACTTCGTAGTCACTTAAGACGGTACT